CCTAGGTCACAGTGGTTCTCAACCTCAGCTGCACATTAGAATCACCGGGGAATCTTTTGTTAAAAATCCTGATTTCTGGGCCTCATCCTCGGGAAAGTCTCTTTCTTTGTTACTCATGTTGTGGCCTCTCCCCAGTAGGGGGTGTGCAGGAGGCAGCTGATCGATGTTTCTCTCTCATCGGTGTTTCTAGCTCTCTATTCCTCTCCCTTCCTCTCTGTAAAAAATGAATAAAAAATAAAAAATAATTACTTATAGTATTTATATAATATTTAATGTATAATAGTTATTACTATTACCAAGTATTTAATTATATTAATTAATACTTAATTTATAAATGTATTCTTTATTAACTTGTTATTTGTATAATCAATTATGTTTTATCATTGTTATAATTTTTAATATTGCCTTAATTCAGCCCTCATCATCTTTTTTTAATATATTTTTTATTGATTAAGATATTACATATGTGTCCTTGTCCCCACGTTACCCTCTACCCCCCCCTGTTGTCCGTGTCCATTGGTTAGGCCTATATGCCTGCATATAAGTCCTTTGGTTGATCTTTCCCCCTTACCCCCACCCTCTTATCTCTAAAATATATCACAACTTTAGAAAGGCTTTTTAGTCCTTAAAAAAATTGACAATACTGCTTTAAATCCATTACATATATGATAGTGTTTTCTAATGGTTTTATAAATGTCACTTAAAAAAAAACAAATAATGTTCACAAACTGCAGTTGATAGTCATGTCTCTTAAATTTCAGTCTATGCATTCTCCCTCATCCTTTTTTTTTTTCTTGCAGTGTATTTTTTGAAGAAAAAGTTGTTTGCCCTGGAGACTTTCCAGAGACTGCTTTTTGTTGGCTGCATCCTTGTGTAGTTTAACATGCTCCTCTATCCCTGGTATTTCCTATTAATTGGTAGTTGGTATCTAGAAGCTTAATCAAATTGAGACTTAATTTTCTTAATAAGACCACTTATAGGAGGTTAATATTAAGAGATATTAAGATGAAAAAAGGGCAAAGTAAAGGAGATCACAAATGTGAGGGGAATCATTACTATTTAATATCATTACCAGCGTATTTAATAATTACTTAGGCCCTAACCGGTTTGACTCAGTGGATAGAGCATCAGCCTTCGGACTGAAGGGTCCCAGGTTTGATTCCAGTTAGGGGCATGTACCTTGGTTGGGGGCACATCCCCAGT